AGTCCCAACTGGCAACAACAAGAAACTGTACAAAGGCTGTCATTTTTATTTTTTTTTAAAATGGACTGTTTTCACAATAATAATCATTTAGACTTTCTTGTATTGTGACCTTGTATGTTGTTTGTTTGCTTCTTTCTTTCCTTATTATTTCTTTTCAAACTTGACAGCCTAGTTTTACATTATTTATTTCCTGATTCCAGCAATTAGCTTCAATCCCTCCCTTCAAATCTGTAAATCCATAGATCACAATACTAGTCAGACATTTCTTTGGTGAAATTTGAGAAGTGCATTGGTAGCACTTCTTGAAAATAAAGGTATGCTGGAAAAAATTGATTGAAAAAAGACAGTTTTTTCGTTGCTGGAGAAAGTAATTTCATATACATGTAGGCCTAAGTACATTTCCTTTGCACTGTTATTGTATTTTTTTTTTTTTTGCAGATGCCAAGAAAACAGTTAGTGTATTCTCCTTTCCCCCTCTTCCATTTATCCTCCTTTCGAATTGTCCATGTTTCTCCTTTTGCCTATTCATATATCTGATAGTCCTACATATCAATGAAATATCAGTTGCCCTTCTTAACCAAGTTGGACTAAGTTGAAAGGAGCATCAGCTGCTAGGTAAAGAACATACTTGTGCATACTTTCCCAGAGATACCATATAGAACTGTCTATCATAGATCTCCATATACTACAGATTCTATCCATCTTTCCTCCAGTATCTTAAATGTAATATAGTAGGCACATTCATTGATACACATAATGCATACGCATAGCGTATATACTGGGGATTTATATCCTAAATCTTCCTCCTGTCTTAGGAAGGAAATTTTGAGCCACTTCCTGCCTCTGCAGCATTTTCTCTTTGGCAGACAGAAAGATCAAACAAAAGAAAAAAACTTTTATTTAAAAGGGAAATAGGAAAAGAAATTGTACAAGTTACTTTTTAACTTTAATTAGTCACACAGCTCTTCATTAACAAAGGAAATACAATTATAGAGGTATTTAAAATCAAGCAGCATTGGAAACATCTAATAGAAAAATATGTAGGACAGTGACAAGCTCTGAACAAAATTCCAAAGTGATCCATTCTACTAATGGAGAAACAACTGAAATAGTTTTATGCCAGTCTGCATAAAACATACAAGGATTGGGCTTGTGGAAAGATAATGTTCCAGATAAAATAAAGTGGTCTTTAAAAAAAAATTAAACAGGGCACTGTCTTAACTAACATTTTCCTTTTCTTTTTAGTCATAACTCTTGGAACTACCTCTGTGCCAATTTGTTATCTAGAAAACCTTCCTTCCTTGAATTGCCAGCTATAATCAGGCGGTTCTTAGCTTTCTCTTTTTCCTTACCCTACCTTGTCAAAAACATCTGGCTTTTTTTGTCCTGGACTTCTGCTTTGTTTTTCAAAAGGACCCAGATTCTCTGTCTCTGGCACGGAAGGAAGCATTGAGAGACTGTTGTTGTTGTTGCGTGTGTGGTGAAGATCATGCCCAAGACAAGGTTTTATTTTGAATGGCTAAGCTGTCCTGAATATCAGTAATTTACACTAAAGAGAACATTGTATGGGACATTGTTTACTAGCAGATAGAAAAACTAAAATTAAACAGTGCGAGGATACAAACTATCTTGAAGGATACAATAAGCATGGTACCGTTAAACATCACTGTTTTAAAACTGAATGAAGTGGGAGAAAGTATATGTTTTATCTTTGTATCCTGTGATTAATTTAGTTCTGTTCAGTCATTCTGCAAACTATAGGTGTGTTGCATTTCATAATTCTTTTATATAAACATAGTGCTCTGAAAAGAGTAGATGTATCCAAAATATTTGCATATTGAACAACTATTTTTCTTTCCTATACCCTTGACACTTACAGGGTTCCTATTACCTGCTTAATATAAAATTTAAAAAACCATTATTTGCAGCATTTTTTTTTATTAAACAGTAACAGATCAAGATCATGTTTAATTAAAATTAACTTGCTTACCAAAGCCAAATGTACTAATGATTCACAATGACCTTTTATTACCTGCAGTCCCTTGTTTTGGCTGGATGATTGACAGCTTGCTGTTTGGCTCCGTGTTGTATTTCAGCTGACAAGACTTTTCATTTTAACTCAATTTGCCTGCCTATCACAAGCTGGTGGCGGGCCAGGCGCAAGTCGGCCAGCTTTGCCTCAGCAGCTTGCTCCATTTCTCATTAGTACGCATTTATTCAGTGGAAATTGGAAGACAAATGCTTGAAGGCATGTGAACTAAGTATAGCAAATTAGGTTTAAAGACTGAATATTTATAAGTATATTGAAATGACTTCGACTTTTAAAAAAAGATTGTAGATGAATTGGAAGCAGAGAATATAAGAGAAAAGGGGAGTGGGAAGACTCTAAAAATAATACTCTGGGAAGTCTGAAGGCTCCCTCTTCCTCCCTCCCTTTCTCTCTTTCCCTCCTTAGAAAATATGTCAACTTTACTGACAATCTCTCTTCATGTGTTGAAGTTTCAGCATCTCATGTGTGTAGGAAGTGGGAAAACATGAGGGTCATGTTCATTTGCTGCTTGGTTATCTCTTGCTTTGCTTTAAATTGCCTTGTTTGTTCAGCACTAGCACAGAAACAGATGTTGTTCTCTAGAGCTGGATCATTTACGGTACCTCATGGTGCAAAATGGGAGGCCTCCCAGGCTATCCAGCTGGTCTTACAGGAGTGCTGGCTTATGCCTACTGAAGTATGACAACCGCAAGTACTGTACAGGCTGCTGTTTTATCATCTAGTTGTCATTCAGTGTCTAAATCCAGTGTATAAGGATTGTTGGGGAGGGGAGGAGGGAGGAGGGGAGGAGGAACTGGGAAAGAGTGTCATTTTTTTTGTTTGTTTATTTTCATGGTCGGCTGCCACAAATCCACACAAACTCCCTCCTCCTTTGCTGATCATAATGTGACTCATTACCTTTGTCATCTAAGGATTATCAGCAAGATCGCTCAGAGCAAAAGCCGCGGCTCCTTTTTCCCCACATAGCTGGTATTGGAAGGTAAAATAGATTTGTCATTTATGATCTGACCGCTAAGCCGTGCTCTGAGCTCCATTACTGTGATTAAATTCTCTATAAGAGAAGTTTGCCCGATTGTCATTTGGGATACCACGGTGGTCAACAGACTGCCATGCTTCCTTTCAAAATGTCAGCCAATCCAATATGACTTTGTGGCTTGTGCTACTCAAGTGGAAACCTGCTATTTGAGCAGCAGCGACACTTTGCCTGATGAATTCGCTTATCGTTGCTGTGTGTTTTGTGCTTTGCTCCCTTCCCCTCACTGGCCCCCAACCAGGATTTGGTTGCTTTGGTGTCCAGTGGCCCTACATATGTCAGTTACCATTTCCATACTGCAGCCTACTATGCTCTAATCAGCTTCATTATGCCTAGGCTGCATAAAGCCAAGTAATGGAGCCTGGATCTTTCTTTTGCATTGGGGGAAGTTTTCTCTTGCCAGAATGCAGCCATTTGACATCTATTGTGCCTTGTGGCTATCCGCAATAGAGGCCATATTCTGGAATCAGAGGTTTTTTTCTGGCTTCGTCATCAACAAGCCGACTTGATTCTCCCTGATTATAGTAACGAAGGCAGTCCAAAAAAAATATGCACAGCCTCACTGTACGTCACATTGAATCACGGTGTTGGCCACACAGAACTGACCGCAGCCTCATTTCTTTAGACAAATACACGCTTAAGGAAAAAAAAAACTCTTGCAGAAAAGCATCCAAATCAGCTTTATTTGCCATGCACTGTCTTTAATTTTTGTAGTAAAAAAAACACACATTTGTAACTGTCCCTTTCAAATGCTTCTAGGCTAAGGTTGCTACACTTTCTTGTAAATTAACCTTTAGGCTCACCAAAGCTTATGTGGCAAAGAGGGGATTTTAATGTGGATATTCCAAAATGCATATAAGCAACTATCTATGCTTGATCTTATGTTCTACGGGTGCTCTGGTTTTGCTAAGGCTTGTTTTCACACTGATAGCTTGAAGGAATCATGCTGTCTCCTACAGGACCCAGCCATGCTGGTGGAGAAATAGTCAGTTTTGATTACTAAGTGAGAGATGCAGCCGCAGACAGGAGGTACATGCTGGTATGCATGCTATCAGAATGATTTATGCAAATTATGCATATTATTCCCAAAGGAATTTCTCCTCAAACTGCCAGGATAAATTGCCGGAAATTAGCCATAAAATCTGTCATGCTAGGAGCAAAAGGTGAAGGCTACTGGGATGGCAAGGACATTTGCCTTCCCAAGCTTTCCAGGTTATGGTGGGCGTCTGGAAAAGGTTTGGGATTTGTGTCAGAGCATTACACAGGATATGGGTTTTCCCCCATTAACTTGTCAAAGTGCCACGCATAATTTGAATTTGCTCAGCCAACAGTAGAAATTATGATGTGATGATGATATTGCTAAGGGTTCCGTAATTCCCAGAATCCTAACTTCACAGTTATTCACAGTATAGTTATTTGAGTGCTTCATATTGTAATGCATGATTGAAGCCCAGCACAAGGCCTTTGGAGGAGAGCTCTGAATCCTATAGTTGGTATTGCAACCCTTGCAATGTATATAAATGCATAAAAATATTCCTCTCTCTAAGGGGGGCATTTTAGTGAGACGTACAAATAATGGTTTTCCACCCAAAATCCACTACATTGTCTTGAGCTATCTATCTATAGATAAATATATATAAATAAATATAAATATATAAATCTATCAGTTAATAATTATATTTAATAATTCCAAACAGCAAATACTCCATTACTCCTACAAGAATGCTTTTGTGTCCCGTTTTTGGTTCACCCCCTGCCCCCCCCCCCCCATTTTTCCCTCCACCTTTTTTTTTAATAGCCACATCTAATAAATTAATTCAGTGGCTGTTATAGGAATTTGTAAATTCCAATCATCTTCAGTATTTTTAATGGTTTAAGATCTTGTTTTGTTCTGTTTTTCTCTTTATTTAAATGCAGAAAGTGCTATAAATGAGAGCTTGCGAATGTGTTCCTCGTCAATGAATATCCGTAAAATCAAAGAAAATTTTATTCTCAGCTTTGAAGAGAACAATGAAGTCTGTTTGAGAAAAGGAGATTTGTTAGCAATTTTTCCTCCAATTCTGCACATGGACCCTGAAATCTACGAAGATCCTCAAGTAAGAGTTGACTGCTATTGCACATACGATCACAGGCATATTTCTGCTACCAGGCTCTTTATAACACAGATTATTTTTTTTAGAGAATGGGGGGGGGGGAACTGTGGAACAAATCTTCCTGCTTTCAGTTCTTTTCAAGATGCCTGCTGCAGGTCAAAGGATTTAAGGTCTAAAGGGAGAAATAATGGCAATGAGGCTGACTGCTTACCCCCTTTGAGACGAACTGACAATTGTTCACTGACTACCATAAACTTGAGGCTAAATGTGGGCTTTGTTTGGAAGTGGATCATTGGATGGCCAAAGAAGGCAGAATAATGAAAGGTGGCTTAAAGAGCAAATAATGTGGGCTATTTAGTTAAGTGCCCCCAAAGCATCATTGATTCTCTAAAGCCCCTATAATAGCAGTGTCTTCTTAAGACGTATGGTTTTTCACCTCTCTTTATAGGGATTGGTCTTTTCGTGGTCAATTAGTGTGGCGTTGTGAACTCAGGATTGTAAAGCTGTTGCTCTGCAATGAAGCTTTGAGGGTAATTGTGTCATCTCCATGTATTTTCCCTTTTCTGAAGCTAAAGTTAATGAATATCAAAGACTGCAAATTAATCCTGTCTAGTTCAGCTTAATGCAGCTCCAGAAGTTCATCACCTGCATGCAAATTGAAGGGCTGTTCCCTCAGTTTTTACTGAAATATGTTGCGACCGGCTTGGAGATGCTGTAGAGACAGAAATGCAAGTCACAAGGCTTTACAAAAAATCAGCATTTTACTGAATTCCATGGAGTCCAGGGATAACATGATATGTTGCAGTTATGGTTTATAGGGCATATAAACTTCTCCAACAAAATGATTCTGAGCAGTATTTAACTCCCTAAATCCATAATTTGGGTTAAATAAATCTCCAATGATTAAAAATTAATAAATTAATCTAATATATTATAAAACAACCATATACGGTAGGAATCAGTGGTGGGTTGCTCCCGGTTCTGTCCTGTTCTATAGAACCGGTAGTAAAACTGGTGGGAGGCTCCGCCCACCTGCCCCAACGTCATCAAGGGTGATCTGCGCATGTGCAGAAGCTTCTGTGCATGCACAGAAGCACGGGCATGTGAGAGAGTGAAGCGTGCTCGCGCGCGCGCGCTCCCATTGCGAACCGGTAGCAAAGGTAAGTAGAACCCATCCCTGGTAGGAATCCACCATTCCAAAAACAATTTAAAATGTTTACTCATCAGAGGGACAACCATAGTTGCTCAATGGGCTTGGGGAAAGAGCAAATCTTCACAGATTTTATGAAGGCTAGGAAGGAAGGGGGGTTCCCACTGATAGGGGCATCCTTTTGGAAAGGGTCATTAGGGTATATTTTCACTTGGACAAAGGAGAAGTCTTGAGAAATGTCCAAATCGCCTTGTTCTTTTCAAATCATCAGCCCTACCCAGTTCCCTTATAGACTGAGGAGATATAAGGGATGCTTTCACTGACTGACAATAAGCTGCTGATACATTTTCAGGATATGGTCCTTGATATTTATGAGCCTAATTATTTTGGAATTAGGTTATTTGAAGAAGCACCTGCTTCCATCTAGTCCTATCTGATCTTTACATTCTGATCTGGATGCCTTGCTGACCATAATATATATATGAATGTGACAATTGATGAAAATTGCTACCTTTTTCATTCTGCCAGCAGAGAAGTTATGCTGAATCAAAAATCACTTCCTAACAGAAGGGACACTTTCAGCCAGAGATGGCTCATTCTGGAGTCAGCCTTTTGTAATAGAAAAATAATTATAGTTACCTTTTCAGAAGATGATGCTAAAAAATAAAATACGCTATTTTCTATGCTTGGTATCACCAAAATATTATATTTACGTGTATTTGTAAAATTGGCAGTTGACATAGATAAAAGTATCTATAATGCTAACGCCATTAAGCATATAAGCATGTGTGAATCAGATTAAAAATTATTAGACTAGATTATGTTTTTAAAATCAAAATGTTTAAAAATTAAACCACATGTTCTAAGATCACCCAGGCCTTTGAAATCTAGGATTGTTGTAGAATATAGCAGCAGGAAAGGGTATTATTAGGTATGTTCACCACCTTGAGTTATTTATAAAAATAGTAAAAGCAGGATTTAAAAAAATAATATAAATAAATGAATTAATATGATGACAAATTGGCCCAGGTCAAAACAGTTTATCCCAGTGTAGGATTCCAATAATGGTACTTTGTAGACTACAGTGTTGTCTTTCGGATTTTAAATATTTGTAATGCAAAGCTGTAATTGTATTGTTTGTTTGTGTTGAGCAGAAAGCATGCAAATATTCATGTGATTCAACTCTCTGTACCTTGTATACTCTTACTTGTACCAAATGGTCTTACTCACTATATGTGTTCCTAGCTTTAATGTGTGGAGAAGGGAGGTATAACGTATAAGTTTATAACCAACATTTCAATTATGAATTTCGCAAGGCAACAGTCGTGTAGCAACAGTTATTAAAATAACAACACAAAACCAAGACATATGATAAAAATATAGCTAAAAATATTAAGTGTCTTTAGTACCATTAAAAACAGGTGGGAATATGCCTTATATCTAGTACTTTAAAGTCAAGTTAGCAAGTTGGATAAGTCTAAATAGAAAATATCACAATTTGAGTAGCATTCAAAGAAGATCTATTCAGTCATCTGCCTAACCTTGGGAGGTTGATATACAAAAGAAAGAATTCACAAGATAAACTTGGTTAACAGGACATCTATATCTATACCCACCAATGATGGGTATGTGTTACTACGTCACCTGGACATAACCTTCAATAGAAGGCAAAATTTATGAAATACACATGGGATATCATTATAGCAACCTTAATTACAAGTTAGGTTAGCTTGACCCTTTCAATATTTGGTGTGCAGCCAAGTTCAAAAGTTGAATTTAGCTTTTATAACTTGTAGTCTTATCCATACTGTCTAAGCACCTGCTCAAATATCAAAGAACCCAGTGTGACTTGGAACAATCCAATTCATGTAATAAAACCAATTCCTCATGAGGACAACAAAGAAGGTGAGAAATACAATGGAATATACAAAATCTGTTTGGAAAAACAAAAGATTCTGAACTGGTATCACACAATACCACAGCTGGTGTCATTCTGTTTCTGCAATGGTTGCAGTGACACAGTGAAAGAATCACTTGTAGATCCTTTCTGTCTCAGATGTTTAAAGAGGAAACACCACTATCTAGGCAAGTCACATTAAAGTAAAAAGATAAACAACCATTGACAAAATATGTAAAGTTAAAATCAGCAAAATAAAATTAACCATGTGGCCCTGAATTACATAATATTTCCTCCCTTACTCGGTTACTTACAACTACTATATATTGCATCTTCTGTATTTAACACCTACTGGAAAAGAACCCTTAATTGTTTTTGAAAAAATAGGGAAGGAGCCACCTTCTCTATTCCAAAACCAAGGAGCCAAGGAGCTACCATGAATAAGCCCAGTCCCCTCATGGCCATACAGAATAGATGGGCAGGTCCTATCTGGATAACATGGCCTGAAGGTAATGAGGACCTGAATCTTAAAGAGCTTTAGTAACCCATTATAATTATAAAAGCTGAATTTAATAACTCTTGAATTTAGATGAGCAATGAGTACATGCCCTTCAGAAACATCCATGGTACAGTTTTTACTGGCTGTGCATGATGTAGTCGTGGTAGCTTCATTCTATACTAGCTTAAGTTTTTGTATCATTTGCAAGGGCAGCTCCAGCTCAGCAGTTCCACTTAATGTAGACATGAATTTTTACTTCCCAAGGAACTGCTTCCAAACAGAGTTGGGAAAAAATGATAGTGCATGTTTCTGCCAATTTGAGATAGAAAGCCTACAAAAACTACAGTGGAAAGCCTGATTCAGGCTTCGCACAATCTAAAGCAAATCTGCCAGTTGCCTCCTCCTTCAGCCCACAAAAAGATGAAAGCCAAATTCTTGGCTCTCTTATTTGCATAACATGGTTTCCTGGCTGAATCACAGTTGAATCTGCTAGTGTACAGAATTTAAAAGATGGGCTTTCAGTAGGGATGAGGTGAGAGTGCACATAAGTGTGTATGAAGGACCATCTGTAAGTTGTGCTTTAATGCATTCACTCTGAAGTCCCTAGTCTGTATTCTTTAATGATTTCCTGGTTGCAACATACTTTAAACAGATGGGCCCTTTATCAATTACTAAAACTATAAACAAGGACAGTGTGCCCTTCTAGTTTTGATTCCAATCATCCCAGATTTTCTGTATGAACATATTGCAAGGTTGCCTCAGTAGTGCATGTTAATGCATTTAGACTCGCCTTCACAAGTTAGAAGGCTTTCCAGCAAGGAATTCCTGATTCTGGAATAATTCTTAAATCATTTAAGGAATTATTTAGAATGATCATTATTGTTGTGGTTTGTGGTAGTGGTGGAAATTAGCAATGTTCTCATTGTTATTATTTCTACAGAGCAGTACTTGTCATGTTTATTTTGCTGGTGCACATTCGCCCCAAAATACCACGGTCAAGCCATGAGCAGTACCTTCAGCCTGGCCTGGCTTCTGAAGGTTATGTCATTTTTAACAAGCAGGGAATTGAAACTGAAACTAGGAAATGGAGCAGACGAAAATGATAAGGTGGTGCTTAAGAAATATATTGGTCAGATTTAGAAAAGGGGAGATGGTGTGCAGCCCCCAACAACAAAAGTGAAGAAAGGAAGTCACACTAACCTGAGGGAAGTGACTAATTTTACCTCCCCTTATTTTAGTTAGAAGAAGCAAATGTCAAAATATAGTGCTTCTTTTATTATGTTTCTTGTGTTTTGTCTTAATATACGATCTTCATGTTTTTGTATCATCACTGGTACAGAATTTCCACATGGAATTCAAAATCAGTAAGCACATGAATAGCAGATAATCCAATTTGTTTTAAATGAAACCCAAAAGGAAATGAAACTCAAAAGGAAAGGAATCCAAAGGTGTAAAGCATAGGAACCGTGTTCATGAAATAGTTTACAGAGCTGTACGGCCTGGTTTGAGACAAGAGGACCACATTTTAAGACTTAAGGCACAAGTGTGGTCTTACTTGCCTTCCAGAAGTATTAGGAACAAAAACAAAGAAGTTTTTCCTGCTTCTTATGGCCATGTAGCATCTGTTTAACCATTTAATTTTCATTTTTCTTCCAGACATATAAATTTGACCGCTATGTGGAGAACGGCAAGAAGAAAACAACCTTCTTCAAACAGGGAAAGAAGTTGAAATATTTTCTAATGCCATTTGGCTCTGGAAGCAGCATGTGTCCTGGAAGATTCTTCGCAATGAATGAAATTAAAGTCTTTGTGATTTTAGCATTGGTTTATTTTGATATGGATATAATAGAAGACAAACAACTCGGACAGGGCAAAGATAGAATAGGCCTTGGTATTTTACTGCCAGATTCTGACATTATTTTTCGTTATAAGCTTCGGTCTTAGTAGAGAACCTCTATTGCTTATATAACTATCTTACTCAAATCAGTCTTTTATTAAATGTAATGTAGCATTTGTAATTTATGGGTGTCTTTACAGGTTTACTGTACTTTCATTGATATTAAGTGTTTAAAATATTATCATAGACTGTGCTTTTCTGTGCAAAAAACAATGAGAAGCAGATATAATCCATGTAAATTCTTTTTATGATACGAATTCTAGGATCTAAGGTCCCACAAGTAATTCTGACTCATCCATGGATCCATTGGTCTTCTAAAGAGAATTGGATACTAAAACTAAAATCCTAAACATCTTTCTGGGAAGATAAAATCTACTCATCCTGGAGACACGTAATTCAGAGTAAACATAAATAAGGGACACTTTTCCTGTTGATTCTGGAAAAATTACAATAATAAGTATTGCTTCTATTGCCATCCTGAGGCATAATAACAAGGATTTAATCTTTCATTCCTACAGTCTCACAAAAAAAGTTAAATGTTTTTCTGTGCCAAGGTACTTCTGTTTTGTAGCCAACAGTTTCCCTTCTACTGAGGAGTCTTTCACTAGGTGACAGCATTTGGCAAAAGTTGGGAAACTTGCTAAAAATATAGATAAACTCTGACAAACCCCTTCCCCATCCTCTTTATATATTCTCTGTAACTACTTTGGTATGAAGAAGATGAGAACTGCTCAAAAGACCCTCCTTATATGGATACTGCAATAAAGCAAGATAGCTTAAAAAATACGACCAAAAGAGGAAAAGGTATTTGTCTTCATCTCAGCCAGGCACTTCATTGTGCAGAGATGAAGAGATTCTGCTCATCATGGAAAGAAGGAACACGATTCTCACTGACGCATTTTATGATGCTTCAACACTTTGACCAGTTCCATAACCAGAATTGGTTCTGCACATATTATGCTTTTTTCCCCCTTCTCTTCAATCCTGCCAAATTCTTAGAGACTCCCTGGACAAGTCCCTGCAGTTTACTTGGCAAAGTTTTTTCAGAAATAATTTCCCATTGCATTCCTCTGAGGGCTGAGAGGTAGTGACTGACTGAAGGGCATCCAGCTGACTTTGTGCCCAGGCTGAGGTTAGAAGTCCCAGTCTCCTGATTTCTAGCCTGATGCCCTAACCACTACACCAAACTGTCCCTATATATGCAGAGATTTTTAGAAACGGATACGTGGCCTTACAAAGCAACTTCATACAAATGTTTTGTCCAAAACTCTATATAGCTCTAATAGATTATCAGCAATATAACATAATTTATGAAGCATTGACTAATTAGATAAGCTACCTGTCTGTGCTATTGGTACTCATATGTGGGAGGAAATAAACTTTTTTTTAATTAATCTGTCAGATTTATTCTAGGTAGTGATGGTGCACACTCTATGGGCAAATGCATTGCATAGTTAGTTGAAGCTCAAAATCTAGTTATTTTTTTACAGAATGATAAGCAAAAGTAACATTATTACAATGTTGTATAGACGTGCTTGCAGAAATGTCAGTTGTGAAACATACCCTACAGTTGTGAGGATTCGTCCTTTGGCAACTTTTTGATATCAACTGTGGGACGAATTAAAAGCAGTTTAAAACATGGCTTGCATTTCGATTCAAGTTGTGATTTTACATTTTGAAATTGTAAATATCGTGTGTTGCATGATAAAAATGTAATGGCGCTTTGTTAAATAGGACAGCAATACATACGCCAGAACAATCACTGCTCTATAGCTGATATGTCTCTCTGGCAACCAAGAGAAGACAACACTTGTAAATGTACAACTGAGATCTATGAAAAGGTACAGTTGACTGCTACTTGATGCTCAAACTTTCACCGGGTATAGAAAAAAAAAAAAGGCAAGTGAGAGGCTATGTCCAAACCCTGCACTACACTATAGACTTGATCGGGGTAAAATCCAATTTTTTCCCTACCTGTTCTGTGGGCATGGCAGGGAAAGGATATTGCAAAATCTCCATTCCCACCCCACTCTGGGGCCAGCCACAGGTGGTATTTGCCAGTTCTCCGAACTACTCAAAATTTCCGCTACTGGTTCTCCAGAACCTGTTAAAACCTGCTGGATTTCACCCCTGGAGTTGATGGATCTTCAAACAGATTTTTCTGCAATGTTTATAACAAAGTCGTATTCGAGAAGAGCAGTTGTTTTTCTTTTCAACTGGAACTAATAAATTGGTGCAAGTTCTTGCAGCCGATCTCCTCCCACGTCTGTAAAATAATTCTCTGGTTTGGGTTTTCCCCAGTGAAGCTACTCGTGACCAAGTAGCATCATTCTTCTAGAATTGACAGGATAAAACAATACAAATTATTATTAATGAAAATGATTAAAAGGAACTCTTCTTTCTAGTTTTAAACCCTGCCGGTCACCCTTAACCACAACACAACCATATCCTGACAATATCATTGTGAAATTGCCCTTACTCTATGCCCAGGAACTAAGTGAGACTTAGATACACTGGAATAAAACTAGTATTTTCCTTTTTAAGGTGACATTCTTCCATCATAGCTTCATGATGGAATAATGAATAATAATGCTTTATTATAATCATATAATAATATACTATATTATCTTGGAACTATGGTCAGATGGAATCTTCCTAAGATGGCATTCTCAGCAGTTTTTTTTTGTTTGTTTGGTTTGGTTTTTGCCAAAACCAGACAGCTGGTTTTGTTGTCAAAGCTGCCTCTTTGGCAGCATGCTTTGAACAGGACCTACTAGGAATGAGTCAAGATAACCATTGGGTGACTATGGACCTACCTGAGATTAGAAGGTAGCAATTCTCAGTGGGAGGAGTTGGAAAGTAGAGTCTCTATCTATTCCTTTCCAGCTGTCTGCTGTTTTAAGAACTTACGGTGCTTTTCCTGTCTTTGAGAGGAGCTGTTTATGACTAGCTTTAAAAGTTTCAGCTGTAAATTTTAACTGCTAAATATTTTGGACTATATCAAAATTGTCAAAATGCAAGCAATATATCAAGACAAAATTTATTGGGTAAGCTGGGCAGAAAGAATACTTTTCAATTTATAAGTTCAACTTGAAAATTTGGCTAAAAAGCTTGATAAAGTAACAATGGTTTTAGATATTGGTAACCCAATGCAAATAACAGTGATTTACAATTAGATGGATTAGAATGTAATTTGATGCTGGCAGATCTGAAAGATGAGGTGGATTTAGGAAATGCAAGTTGGTTAGAGGACTCCAAGAAAGGTATGATAAAGACTCAAAATTGATCAGTAATGAGTTCGACTTTTTGAAGGAAATTGGGGAACAGATTTATTATACCCAGTTGGAAAACAAACGTTAAGAGGTGTTATGTTACAATTTACAGGAAACTGTTTTGTGCAATAAATGCTATGGAGATACACACAACAGAGATTTCTGCCTTTTTTTTTTTTTTAATTTGACTTATATGCCGCCCTTCTCCGGAGACTCAGGGCGGCTTACAATGTGCTCAGCAATAGCCTCCATCCTTTTGTATATTTATACAAAGTCAGCTTATTGCCCCCACAACTGGGTCCTCAATTTACCTACCTTAGAAAGGATGGAAGGCTGAGTCAACCTTGAGCCTTGGCGAGATTCGAACCTGCAGTAATTGCAGGCAGCTGGTCTTAATAACCAGCTTAATAACAGGGTGCCTTAGACCACTGTACTACCAAGGTTCTTTGGGGAATAAAATCCAACTGCTAAAAAACATCCCAATTCATATCTTAAAGGAAAGCCTTATTATTAAGAATCAGTTGAGGATATTTGATCCTGGACAAATCAGAGACAATGTCTGTGGTGAATTATGGTAGACCAGAAGCCATTGTTGACTTTCTGCAGGTGAAATACAATAAATGGATTGTTAACAGAAGGTTTTGAAGTGTAATTTAACTGTTGGTTTTACCGGTTAACTATGTTTTCATATAGCAGATAAATGTCAAGCTAAGTGGGTTAGGTAAAGAGAGTTGTAGAAATTTATAAATTGTGTGCCTCCTTTGCGAGGCAGGAACAGGTATTATTTTTGAACTATATCAGTATCAACTAGGGGAGACAATTTATGTATATGTCTGTTTTGTTTTTTTCCTTTTATGCACTTTTTTGAGGGTAGTCTTGTTTAGCTTTGTTTTGTTTTTTCCCCTCTTTTTTTGGAGTTTGAATTTTAATATTTTGAATAAAATATTAAAAAATGAGAATCGGGGAAGTGTGGCCAGTTGAACTATTGTATATCAGAGGTGTGCTTTGGGTATGTTGAGAAGGGTTGGTGCACTCTCATCCCATTGGTTGTTAGCTAACTTCTCTTCCCGCTGATTGTTGGCCTACTTCTGCCTTGGTTGATTGTTCTCACCATTAGTACGTGGCTTTCTCCACTTCTTTCATGCCCATCAACATCCTTCTTTTCTGTTCTGGATATCGACTTCTCTCCAGGCTTCCTAAAAGGAAACAAGGAGAGCAGATCCCAACTATTTTATAAGCAGAAGAAAAGAGGGCATGTTTTCCCCCCTTAATCTGTTCTAACAGTATTCTGAAATGGAACTTTATTTTAGTTTGTTACAATCCTGCTTTTCATGATTGTAGTGTCCACATTAACTTGCTTATGTGTTTATTTGCAATTTCTCTATATTTGTCATTTACAAACACCTGTTTCCTCTTCTATCCATAAGTGGAAATAAGAAACCTAGTAGTTCAGCAACCAGTTAGTTTCATTCACTCGGGTTTATAGCAGGATTCAAATATTTAAAAGACACAACCTATTAGTTAAAACTAAATACTGGTCAAGAGGGAGGCTGAAGAGGAAAGCTCCAGGAACAGAAAAATGGCTTCTTTCAAGGGAACGTTTTTGGCCTTAAATCTATAATGGGACACACAAAATCCTAGGGCTCCATCAAACACAGCTTAAAAACTCTGCTTTGTGGGGCCTGGCAAGTTGCACAATCATAGGACCTGCTTGCCTTCTCTCTGGCATCCTCCATACATTTCTTTATTTCACATTTTTAAGACCTGGAAGATATCTAGAAATTTAGGAGAAGGTAGACAAACCAGCTTAGAGAAAAAAGGCAGTGACCTGAAAGCCCAGGCCTGCTCCTTTTGCTGCAGGGCCCTGATTTATGTATGCTTTTTCATTCAGAACTAGGATGTCTTGAGACAAATCAGTTTCCCTCCGACAAACGTACACTCAGAAGCCATTACAAGATTGTTTGGCAATGTCTTGGAAGGGCAGGAAATGGCAGTGAAGAGAGCAAATGTTATGCCAGCATTGTTTAATGCCACCTCAAGCACAGATAGAAAATACTTCAGTTTACTATTGGGAAAAGACTTTCCTAGTTTCTTAAGAGTACTGGTCAGCATTCCACAAAAAATGAAATCAAATGAACATCTCTTGAAGAATCATAAAGATGGAATAGTCCAAAACAGAAGAATTATAGAAGTTTTATGTACTGTACAGTACAATATATTTGTTGCAATCTTGGAAATTGTTGTCCTTAATGAAATAGGATTAACTAGTGGTTCCAGACTAATTGGTAATATTAAAAGAAGTAGCCATCTGCTAAAGAATAAATTCAATTCATTTTCAATAGGTTCTATTTCCTTTGGCAATGGAAAGGAAATAAATTTGAACAATTTCAGTGGGACCTATTTTCTTTTAAAAGTTTCCAGGATTGTTTCCAGGAAGTTAAGCAACCTTTTAAAATTCAAAAAACAGTGAGATTCGGATATGTTAGGTTTTAATAGGAGAATTAATTACATTAATTTTTAATTGATGTACAGCTGGCCTATTAGGTTTTATATTAGCTAGACTATGCCCTGTCATTTTACCTTTTTTTACCCAAACCAGGGGCAGTGGGGATATTCTTTACGGATTGGCATGAGTGGATCATATATTTGTAATGGTCAAATAATGCAATTGTTTTTTAATTTACTATTTTTGCTTTAATATAGGACCTTTTACATTTTATGCAATAAGTGCTTGACCTATACCTATTCTAGTTTTTAAACTGCTGGTTGTTGTTGTTTTTTTTATTGTACCATGACAAAATAGTACAATTAAATATTTTTCCTAAAATATATTTACAAATCTAATAGGGGGTTGTTGTTTTTTGAGACACTAATGTCATCTCTTAATTCCAATTAATTATCCTGCTGCTTCTTACTAGTTTGTTATAGTTTGTATAACAACAATAATGTACACAATTTCAGAAAAATATCAGAAATTATAAAACAAAATGCAGGGTTAAAAAAAACTTGCTTGGTGAGCACAATGAAATATACATACCGGTACATATATACGTACATACATACATACATACATACATACATGCACACATGCATACATACGGAGGGAGAGAGACAGAGACGAAGACCAAGACCATTTGGTGTAGTGATTATGGCATCAAACTAGAAACTGAGACCATGAGTTATTTCCAACCTTAAGTACAAAGCCAGCTGTGTAGCCTTGGGCCAGTTACTTTTTTTCAGTCCTAGGAAAGAGGCAATTGCAAATTACTTTTGAAAAACCTCAGAAAACTACAAGGCCTGTCCAGATAGTCTCCAAGAATCAGATATTACTGAATGCAAGGGGAAAAAATGGTTCTATATATAAAATATCTGTGTTCAATTGTTGAAAGAAAGACACAACTTTTGGGCTATGTCATCCATATGCAAATAACTCCTTATTCTATTCCTCTTATCACTTCAAATTCAAGTAAAACATTGGAAGAGGTGTTCAACTTGTTGCTGAGTTTTTTTTTTAAATGACATTTTGTCTTTACATACTTTTTGACACATTTTATCCTGTTTGCTCTATTCTGCTTTTCCAATTTTATGTCCTTTAAATTTGCGTGTGGATTTATGGCATGTACCCATATAAAAATACTAACTTGGATACTAAACCCACTTGGAAATATTTGCTTGTAAAAAATGTATTTAAAAAACTATTGCTAGGGAAGAGCACCGTATATGGGATTAAAAATCTACCAGATAGATCGCCTACTTTGCCTCTTGTATGATGTTTCCCAGTGATCACATATTGGACAACTATTGTGTTTGTTATCTAAGACTTTCTGATATACTGTTAGTATATTTAAGAAATTTCAAAATTAACCAACAACTTGCGGTTCCAACTAGACAACAATAATTTACAATTCCAACGAACATATTGATGAAGATGTTCCAAAGCTAATTCACTCTGGAGTCCTTGGATTACAAAGTCAATGACTGAAATAGAAGTGGCCCATCAGGAATTATAAATCTAGTCATGGTCAGCTGATTAACAGCTTCTTCTAGGCCTGGTGTCTTTGGACCAGGCATTGTCTCTCAGCCTAAATTACATCAAGGGATAATTTCTGCAGGAATAATTTTGGAAGCGGGATACTAAACATATCACCTAAAGGTCCATGAAGAAAAGGTAATCTAATGAACTGTTCTTCATAGCACTTTGAAGTCATGTAGCCATATTATTATAACTGATGTGTGCTAGATGATGACAAAGGAAAAACCTACTGCATAACTTTATAACAATTGGCACATTGACCAATATTTTGAAAGCCAGTGAATGTTGACTATTTTATTAACTTCAAACATTAATATCGCATTAAAATGTCAACTTCTGGTGAATTCTTAATAACTGTTTTATTTGCTCTTAAACCATATATGGTAGAAATCCTCATTAGTAACATCTAATAAGAAAAACTGATATTTCCCTGAAACAATACATGTCTGAATAATTACATATGACATGGAGGTAAAGATCATTTAACTTTCATTTCAAGATAATCATATGCCTACATATTTCAAATATCTCAATGTCTGCAAAAATCACATGGTATACAATATTCATATTGGGAATAGGAAACATCCTGGTTAAAGATTTTCCCTGAAATCATGAGGTTTCATAGATTATCAAATGTATCATAGGATACAAAGCTTTTGTATTTCTCTTGTAAACTTCTGGTAAGGTACTCATTAATTTGGGAAAAGATAGATTTAAAACAATGAAAACGTCATAATTCGGTACCCATGTTTTTAAATTATATCAGGTTATTACCAAGAGTAATGAAATCTATTATGTTTAGATATTAATGCAGTGTTCTAAATCGTGATATATTTGTACCTGTATAATTTTGTATAATAAGAATAATATACTTGAATTATAATTTGAAATCCATGTATATTAAAGGACTATTACTAGAAGCAGAATTAATTTCATGGGCAAGTTTGTGTTTTTGTTTTATAAATAAGATATACTTGCCTTGTTGAAATGCTTTGTAAAAATGCAGGTTATCTGTTATAAGCAAATGAAGTGGAGATGGAAAATGAGATTTTGGGGAATATGGGGAAAAGAGAAATCTTGTAGAATACTGAGCATGAGGAAAACACAGAGGACACTAAGGATCAGGAAATCATTCTCAAATGTTTATATATAACGTTTATACGATTAGTAAATATATGACTATCAGTGAAGAATTTGCTCACCACTTGCCCTTATCAGCTGTTTGAATATATTGCATTAATCTGGAGGAGGCAGGAAGTCAATATTTCTGTTATTTCTTGCCTTGTGACTACTCTAGCACTTATTCAACATTACCCATGTTCAAACCAATTTCTCCAAGTGATTTATATAAATAAGTAGAACTATAAGTCGGCTGGCTGTTTTTTATAATATCCTACAAAAATGTTTCTTAGGATTTCAGGTCCTCATATAGATGAACTGATTCAGATGAAAGACAACTTGCTTATAATTTACTCTTTTCTTTTGGCTAATAATTAAGGCTATAAGAAATTGTATTATGTGATAGCACATCTCAAAGTGCAGCTCATACACATATTCCAATTATTTAAGATTTGACTTTCAAGTAATCCTATGATCTTAATGCCAAACTAGACTGCAGTGATAAGGCCATAGATCAATCATGTTTAGATGCAGGACATTTTTAAACAGTAATGTAGAAAAACTAATGCTGCCTGCCAAAATGCTGTCACTTAATGAGTATGTATAAACATATCAGTGAAAAGTGGGTGAATGAAAGGCGGTAAAAATAGGAAATGTTTGCGGAAACCAATGCAAACAGTAATGCCTTCTTGTTAAATTCTTCGAATACAAATTTTAAAGATCCTCTTAAATTTCTTGCTGGTTTGCAGGCATTGTTGTTTCTTTTTTTCTCCAAAAAAATTAAGTTAGCCTCAAGGAATCTCATTCCCAAGTAAATGAACAGAATGTAAAAAGAAAGCATCTTTTTTTTAAAAAAATTTTTCATTAGTCACATAAAGCACTCTTACCTTTTAGTTACATTATTTTCTCCAACTACCATTTCAAATTCACCCTTCAAAGTTCCTATGCCTGCCCCCCTCCGTGTGTGTGTGTGTGTGTGTGTGTGTGTGTGTGTGTATGTGTGAATTTTAAAATACAGGACTAAAAATGCTCCTAAGACACCACAACTTTAAGATATATATATATATATATATATATATAGTAAACCCCCCTCTCTCTCCCCCCTCCCTTACTATATATATATAGTACATCTCTTGTTTTCCTGCTGAACAGGCAAGGGCAATTGTCAGATCTCTCTGATGGGAGATGTTAACCCCTTTCGAGTCAAGGCGTTCCTAAATGAAAGCTCAGCCCAATAGGGAACGCTTTCTCTTACCAGCAGACTGCGAGGGAGGGAGGGCCCCCCCCCGGAAATGCTTTCAAATACATTAGTAAACGCTACCAATCTGCCAGAGTTCCGTTTGATCAGGAAACAGGCACTAAGAGTTAAATTCAACACGACTCATTTTGGCCCAAACCCGGGAACTAATTAATCCTTAGGATACGACGCAGTGGGATACTTATTTAATCCTTAGGATACGAGGCTTTTGACTCGGTTCGGTTCAGAAGCGCTGGTGAAAAGATGCGAGAAGCTCTGGAAGAAGGAAGTTTTTCAACCACAGCCTGACAGAATTAGAGACGGCTGCCAATCCCTTTCGAACCGGGCGAGGACCGCTTGCATCGGAAGCCAAAGAGGCTGCCTTCGGTTCCGTTGGCTTTAGGAGCTCCTTCTCTTGAAATCAGCCGTTCGCCACCCCTCCACCTATAGGCAGGCGCCTGCGGGGAGAGGCAGTTCTCCGCGGAAAACCTATCGGAACCCGCGGTGCGTGGGTGGGTGGGAGACTTCCCTACACCTACAAGAGGACCCCTTGAGCGATCTTTGAAGAGAAAAAGGAACTGCCCGGTCTCGGAGATCACTTGGCTTTGGGAAGCAAAGTTGAAGCGAAGCCTGCAAGAAAGAAGAAGTTTGGCGAAACGGAGCAACTCCGCTCCTCCGAGCGAGCTTCCTTGGCTGCAGCCCTTTGCTTAACCCTGGAGAAGGGGCGGGGTCACGGCGCCCGGATACAATGAGAATCTCCCCAGCGCAGGACGGAGCTGGCGGGACCGAAAGGGTGGCTCCATTGGCGTTCCAAGGGGGCGGGAAAGAGACGCTTTACGGCGGCCTCATTGGAGGAGGAAAGGAAGGAAGGCGAGGCCGAAGGGACTCTTAAGAATCTCTGGGCAATTAGCCGCGCCGGCGGTGCGGGAGGCGGAGGGCGAGGGCGGAGAGGGCGCCCGTCGCTAATCGCGTCCCGATGAGAGCACGCAGAACAAGCGGGATTCCTCTTCCCCGCAAAGTCATGAGGATGTGGCCCACTCGGAAACGTGAAAAGCATTTATATTATTATTATTATTATTTTAAAAAAATCACCGCATAGCCTCCAAACGTCCTCTCTTCCTTATGTTCAACCGTACAATAAATTTAACTCTAGACATTTAATTATTTACAGAAAAGTCGCCGAGTCTCGGCTGTTTGGTTATAGAAGGTCGTTTAAAGTAAAGTAACGCCCATAGAAATGGCCCAATTGCAAAAGTGCTCTTTTTAAGAAGCAAAAGAACTTAAAAAAAAAAAAAAGAATCTTGGATCTTCGGGTATTACATCTCCCATCTACACATTTCGCTTTTCCTGTGGTAGAATCGACCCTGCTAATTCTGCAAACTTTTGAGCACGTGCCTAATTCCTTTTAACAATTTTTTAAAAATTAAAAATAAATATGTTTTGGCTCTTACTGCTTCCTTTTAATTACATTTAGAGGCAGTTTCTACACGTTCTCCTCTCTTCTGTTTCTCCTCCCCTCCCCTCCCAATCCTAAATCACTTTTTCATTAAAGATTTTTAATAAGAAAAATCACTTGACCGCTAGTCATTATCTCATCCCTTCCGTGCACACAAGTTCACTTACACATCCTTTCATTTATTCACTTACTCATTCCAGCAGATCCGCCGCAACTGACTGCTAGCAGGGATGTGAACACTCATAATTATTTGTCAAAGTCTGCAAAGTGTATTATCCTTTTTCTACTGGTAATTAGTTACCATAGCATCTAATACGTAAATGTGCCCAGAGCACACCATTAACAGTTAAACGGAGGATTCAATTTAACACATGATTATATCTTTCATAAGTCATTACATTGGGAAAGTCAATGTCACTCACGCTGGGACAACCGCGGGATTAGAACTGGGGCGAGGGAGAGAGAGAGGGGGGAGCAGACAAGAAAGGGAGCGAGCTCGCCTTGGCAGCCAAGGTGAAAAAGGAAAGGGGGGGTATGTCGGGACGGGATGGGCGTCCCTAGTTTGGCGGGTTGGCTTTAGTAAAACCGAGGCTCTTGAAGGGGAATCTTCATTTCTGATGAAGTGATCCGTCAAATAAGGCAGAGGGAGGGGAGGGGTGGCACGCATGGCGGCGGGGAGGAGGGGGAGGGAAACAAGATCAGCTGCTCCTCTCACGTCTGGAGCCCGGCTCAGGGATTGCGGGTGGGTCCTTGATGGTTAGGCTTTGTAATAGGAGCGGTGGATTTAAAACACCCAAGTCGCTAGCATTGTCTCACATTCTACATAGGGAGTTAAAGCGCCAGTAATTACAGGAGAGTCAAAAGGGAAAGAGCCTCGAACCAGGCTTTGGGATAAGAGATCAGAAACTTTCTTCTTCCCGGTTTCCCTCCCCTCCCACCCCCAAGCAGGCAGGTTTTAACCCCTCCCCTCTAATTTTCAAGAGGAAGTGAAAGTTGAAAAGGAACAATCCAGTCTCCAGCACATCTGAAACTTTCGACCAGACTAGTAGAGGTCGGTGGTATATTTCTTATCTCAGCTGACAATTGTCACCACCCTGAGCTCCGCCGTCGCAAAAACAACTAGCAGACAAGTCCATTGAGTACTTAGCGGAAAGGAGAGAGGAGAAGAAAGGAGCGAGAAACCCTCGCTGAGCTGATGAAAAACCAGCTTCTCTTGTTCCAGTAGTTCTTAAACTTTTGCTTCCTGCTGTTGCAAAAAACGGACCTGAACCGAAAGGACCGAGAAAAAGGAAAATGAAGGGACAATACAAATGTGGTCTATCCCAAAAATTACGGCTCTGTTCACAGCATCCCGGAAAAAAAGAAAAGGCTCAAGCCTTAAGGGACTCTTCTGGTCCTCACAATCTAAACTCAGCGGAGCCGTAAGCTAAGGAAAGCTCGTGATCCGGTACGGCCAGAGTTACTTTTGTTCCCGCGTATTGTGAGAGGAGAAAGTTGCTTCTTAAAACGGATAAAGCCACCCGTTTCTAACCCCAAAACCTGGTTCTGAAGTGAAGCAACTTCCGAAAGAGAATAGCCGTACCAAAAAGAGCTGTAAGAGGAAACTGCAAAAGCAGCTTTTCCGGAATCTTTTGGCTTGAACAAGATGCTATTCGCTAAATGTTTCCTGCCCATTTCCCTCTTCCCAGTTTTGCCCTTTCTTTAGCCATTCGCGCCATTCTCCCCCCACCAGCTAGAATCGAGGGGTCTGCTCGTCTTTGACGGCAGGCTTTTCCTACAGGGGGGAATCCAGAAGATTTAAATCTGCCTACGTCTGTCATGTGTGGGTATGTCTGGTGGTGGAAGGTACAAGCAGGCTTTCGGCTGCGTTTGATTCCTAATCAGGATGATGGACAGCAGGAACAGAACAATACAAACTAATGGCTGTTCTGCTGATCACTTTACCCCTTGATTAAAGACACCCAATTACGGCGCAGAACAGTGTCGTAATTATGTTCCTTAATCACATCCAGGAGGTCTAATTGCCTTAACGACGTGTTTCATTAAATGAATTTAGGTATTATAGTCGACAGTTTTCATACACAGTTGTTTTCAAATTAACATAATATTAGACATCGTCATGGAAATTGTTTTAATAATCATAATCAGACGCACCCAGGCTTTGTCTGGTAAATATTGAGAGACGGTTTCTCCTGACGCCTAAGGGTGAGTTGGTCACCCTTGTCGGGCTACCTTCACTCCACTATACAGTTATTATTCCTGAAAAGTTACAGGTTCTGATTAATTAATCTTTTTTTTTTTTAATGAGAAGTGGAGAAGAAAATCTTTATCTGGTGTTCCTTCCTCCCCCTCCATCCCCTGGAGCCTTTGAGGGCATTCGCGGGAAGAAGGCTGAAGGGAGCTATGAATGCTGACCCAGTCGAGGTAGACACTGGCGGTGGCAGACGAGCCCGGTCCCCCAAAACATCTTGGGACCGCAGGCGCGTAGGCGCGTAGGCACATGAGATATCTTCACCCTCCTAGTCGAATGGGCTGGCAGGCTTCCCTGGAGAAAGGTGGATCTGATCGGATCCTGGGATTCGATAGGTCACGGAAAGCCACGCGCCTGCGGTACTTTCTAAAGTTTTGCTAGGTACGTCCACCTTAGCGTGAGAGTCCAGAACTTTCCGTACGGAACCGGAGCATAATCCTATGGACAAAACGGAAGTTTCCCTCCAGCGGTCCTTGTTAGAGCACAACCTTTTCTCTTCCAGGAAGCCAGGGTGAAGGCTCATCTGCACACAGCCTTTCCTCGCCTTCTGAGTACAAGGTGCGGAGTAAAGGTAGCTTGGCGCTCTGCTCTTCTTAACAAGTCTGCGGCTTTATTGTGGTTGTCTGAACAAAGCAAACAGGCGAAGAATTGCGGGGGCGCTTGACCTTTTTCCACTCCTCTTACAAATGAAAGTGGGATGAAGATTTGTTCAAAATATTTTAATAAAAACTATTTTTCTGACATAGATATATACATACAACCGACCATACATCACTGCCGTCCTCTTACTTGACCTATTTTCATGTAGATCACCCTTTATAGGTCCATGACCTGCCAAGGAGCTTTCACAGCATTCGTTTTGCCTACCCAAAGCTGACAGACCAAATTTGGGTTATAGAAAGTAGCTGGAAATACCAAGTCTCAGAGATTCTAGAGCTGAAGCAGAGAAGATAAAGGTTTTTGGGGACTATTCTTATTAAGAGCAGTATCTATGAACCAGTTCTGTCCAACAACAGTTTAAATTCCACTATTTGTCCTAGCCACAAATCATATTATAAATGTAAACAGAGAGAGAGTTAGATTTAGGCCCAGATCTAAATTAAACGTTTCATCCAGTTTAATTCATCGGAATTACTTTTACTTTTACAGTTGGAAACAAAATTGCTTAAATAAAACCCTAGTTACTGATCAGTCTGTTTGGTTGACACACAGTTATTTTTCATCCTACAATGCCAAGCATGCTTAACCAAAGTTGTGGGGGGGGGGGGCAGATACTAGAATCAGTGGAGCACCTACAAATAAATGTTGATATATTAAGAGTAACATTGGGTTTCATTTAACTGAATTAATCAGTTTAAAATTCATGCACTTCAGCTTCAATAGGTTTGAACTGTATGAGAAAACAAATCTATAATATTAATATGCAAATATATTTTTTGAGGTAAACATTCCTTTACTTTTCAAATTTCTATCATTCTGAAGGTAAAATAAATGTAACCCTTCTTATAAACACTGAAATGTCTACTTCCACCTAAAATTACTTCTGCATTTTAAAAAAAAATCTAGCTTTATTCTGAAAAATCAAACACTGCCACATGGAAAAGCTTTCTTTGGCATATCCTTGGCAAGAACTATTGCCTGGTGCCTTATGGTGATAGTAATTAAACCATTTTTTGCATGTTGCAAAAAGTTTGTTTAGTCACCACAGTCCAGTTCATTCAGCAATTAAGAAAACACTTCTCCCCTCATTTTTGGACTGAAGCAATTTATTAAAGCTCAATTTATAAATACAGGGATGATGCAACTTAAAAATCCAGATGACCTTTCATAAACCTCAGCAGTTTGGATACATCAAGATTTCTGGTTCAAACATCCTTGGCAAATCAAATGTTTTAAACACTTGGCACAAAGTTTAAGTTAATGAGATTTTTAAGAAGCATTTGAAAAGTAAAAAGCACACGTAACTTTTAACACAGGATGAATATTGTCATGAAAAGATCACTGAAATAAATATGTGTTCTGGTACAGATAGCATTGCAAAGTGAAAAGAAACAAGGTGCACATCTTCAAAAATAATAACTTGCAACACTTCAGCCATGTGAACAGTTTTTACATCTTAAGTAAACACTCTCTGCCAAACCTTTGCTCATTTTCACAGGCTCAAAAGTTCAGAACTAATAAAAACAAGGAATTTCGGAGCAATTTTTGCACATATCTAATAAACAATTCAAGTTTGCATGTTCTCTGGCTCAGAAGCAATGAAATAAAATAACATTTAAAAAAAACCCTTTTAAGTGCCCTTCTTGATTTGTCTGAGTTTACAATCCAGTTTGCTTTCTGCCACCTGTTTCCCTTGCTGAAGCCCAACCGAGCCAACTTCCAAACCTTGGTTGCCGATAGCAAAAGTTCCCCAAAGTTGGAAGCCTTAAAGAAACGATGTGGCATACAGATTTTCTCCCAATCTGGAGTTCTCCGGGATCACATTTCACCCTCCCCCCTCCCCTACACCTTCTCGAGAAAAAAAAAATACGCGACCGTGTGTGTTAAACTTCGCTGAGGTCTCGGTTGCACTTAACTCCCCACATCAACCCCATGACCATCCCCCCTAAAGGCGGCTGCAGCAAAGTCCGGCCAAGGAAGTACTTTTAACGGACGACGAAGGGATCGGACAGAAGTTCGTCTCTCTTTTAAGGCTTCTCCGTGCACTGTTTGCAGAGACTGGACGAGACGCTGTTGAAAATGGCACATTTTTCCGGGCAAGAGGTGGCGGGAGGCAGGCCGGCACTGAAAGGGTAGCCCGCCGCCGCTTGCTCATAGGCCCCGAGAGCCGGGTGCAAAGCGGCCGCCGCGGCCGCTGCGGCCGCCGCTGAAGAGGGCAGCGAGGCGGCCGAAATCGCCTGGCCCTGGTTGAGATAAGCGACAAGGCGGCGCATCTCATCGAGGGCCTGCGCCTGCATCAGGATATAGTTCTTGGCCAGGAGAAGCGTGGCGATCTTGGAGAGCTTCCGCACCGAGGGGCTGTGGGCGTAAGGGATGACGGCCCTCAGCTCGTCCAGCGCGTCGTTCAGGTCGTGCATGCGCCTCCGCTCGCGGGCGTTGATGTTGAGCCGCAGCGCCTTCTGCTCCTTGGACTTCTTGCCCCCGCCGCCGCCGCCGTGGTGGCTATTGGAGCAGGCGCCGCCCTCCGGCGCCTTGAGTAGGGCGCCCCCAGAGCTGACGACGACTCCGGAGCCGCTACCTCCGCCGGGGCCCCGCAGGAGTAACTCGCAGCGCCCGTCGCTGTCGTCGTCCGGGCTTTGCTCGCCTCCGCTGCTCTCGGCTACCGAGCTGCGGCTGGTCGTGCTCTGCCCATATTTGACGCAGACCGAGCCGCCCAGCGGGTCCCCGGCCACCAGCGCCCCGGCCGCGCTTTCCCTCAGCAGCACCTCGGAGTCAGCCGGCTCGTAGCAGCTGAGAGGGGACGGCGCTTGCCGCGAGTCGCGCTGCTGTTGCTGGTGGGCGGCCAGGTCGAGCCCCGGGGGTGAACGGAAGGCAGACTCCATTCTCTTGGCCGAAGCGCTGAAGCTCTTGTGGAATAAGTCTTCGTCTGAAGGGAGGTTTAGCGCCCTCTCCATAGTCCCGACCGGCGGGTTCCCCTCCTCCAACTCCTCCCTCTCCCGCGCCCCCTCCCCCGCTCTGGTCCTTTAACGCCCCGGGTCGGGGGCTTGCCTGGGTCGAGCGCCTCTCCCCGAGAGCGCGGCTCCTCGTTCTGCCCCTGTCACCTTCTTCTCCCCGCTCTTCCAGCGTCTCGGAGGCAGGCCGCTTTGGCGCGCGTTCTTTCTCTTCCCCTCAGTGAGCGTCTGTCTCGCTCGCCGCCTCGCTTCCTCTCAGCGCTTCTCTCCCGCCACCAGCCCGCGCGGGGCTAAGGCATTGCGAGCTGCCAGCGGGCTCTCGGCACCTTTTCTCTGGCTCGGATTCACCTCGGGGAGATTTCCCGGACCCATCAAGGGAGAGAGAGAAAAGAGAGAAAGAAGAAAGGGAGCCGGAGCGCTCGCTTTTCTCGCTCGCTCGCTGAAGGCGGCGGCAGCGGCGGCTGCTAGTACTCCCGCTGTTGCTGTTGCTGTTGCTGCCGCCACCGCTGCTGCTGCTAACTGCCGCCACCACAGACGGGGGAAGTCTTTTACCTCATTATCTCGCGGAGAAGGTTATTATGAAGAAGCCTCGCCTGTTGGGACAGAGCTTGCTACCCAATCAGGTTAACGTTTTAATTAATAGGATTAAAACGGTAACAAACGAGCCCAGGCGCTAAGGCTTGGCCCTGAGTCTGGAGAGTTTGCATTTCACACCGGTCTGGAGGAGGAGGAGGAGGAGGAGGAGGAGGAGAAGACAGGCGGCTGCTCACGCTTTATAAAAGGCTGCTCCATTATTCTCCCTGCCATCTGTGGGCACAGCTTAACGCATATGTTTGCAAGGCGTTGGGTCCTATTAGGAAGCCAACAACTGCCTTTACAGCCTGACAGGTGTGGCGACTTTCACTCCTCAATGAGCACACTTAAAAGCCCGGGCTGGGGCGAAGGAGGATGTTTTTCCCCTCCTTCAGCAAATTACGGGGCGGCGATGACGGGGTGAAGGGAGGAAGAAGAAGAAAAAAGAGGGGAGGGGGAGAGCTTGCTGCACACTTCGCTCCTCCGCCTGCCCACCCACCCACCCACGAAGACTGGCTGCCAGCGGACTTCAGCGAACTTTGTGCCGTCGCCAGACTGACGTTCGGCCGCGCCAACCTTCTTCACGCCCGCTCCGCTCTCTGCTTTGAGAGGAAGGAGGAAGACCTGCTTTGCTTGTCATCCGACTTCACCTTGGCCTCAACCCATTTATCTCGCTGAGGTTCACTTCAAGCGCGTTTCTCTCGCTCCCTCTTTTGGGCAAGACGTTTCCATCTTTTCCTCAAAACTCCCTCCCTCCACCCCCACCCCACATTTTCACCCTTTCCCAGAGTCATCGCAGTCTCTCTCTCTCTCTCTTCTATACGGAGCGGACGTACAATTAATAGTTAAGCTTTTTAATTAATTAATGGGGGAGTGGATCCCCTCCAGCTCCTCCCGCCCACAACTTTCCAATCGCTTTCTAACCAACGAGAACTTGGAGGCCAGCCAAATTTATTCTAAACTCCTAATTTAGTAGACACCCTCTCACCCTGCAATCCGCAGACTTTAAGGGTTGTGGGACCAATTCTGTCACCTAGCTCCGAAGTTACAGGTGTATTATTAGCGTGACTTTCTTCATAGCTATTATTTTTAAAGGGCGGAACCCTGAGTGTGAAATGAAATGTTTACTTTAAGATTTATATCTTTATTATCTTCTGTGACGCTGCACTCTCTCTGAGTGGCTGGTATGGAACAATAAAGCCTTGGAGCCAACTCTTATATTTAGTGTGCACCCATCTGATCCCCTCCATGGAACACAAACCACTTTTGTTTTTATTTTATGCTCTTTTAAGGGAGGGCAGTGGCAAGATTTGCTCTTTTCTCTCACATTTTAGGACATCATCGAAGAATATTTCTAATGCTTTCATCAGATCTTATGTGATAGAATAACCAAAGGTTATGATGTTCAGTTTCTCTGGTTTCATTAAAAAAAAACCCTTTAATTGTGTCTTTCTCAGTTGGCCCCAGGTGTTGGAGTCTTTTCATTACATTTTGCTCTAATGTGATGAAATTCTAATTCTCTCCTTACCATATGGTTAAATTTCCCCACTGAGAATTAGTTGAAAAAGAAGAAATAATCTATTAATCTCTGTAATAGATTCACAAATGAGGTTTGCCACAGAACCTCGCTTTTGAATGGCAGCATGAGAACAGTTGGGTGTCTTGTTTTAGCAAAGAACAGGAGCAGGCGACAGCCGACTCTGTCTGGATTTTTCACCTGGAAGAGGAGAAGAAGCCAAGCACCAATAAAACCTCCCTCGGGTGCAACAACTGAGGACAGAGCTTTCCCTCTAGTTCAGACTCCGTGAACATGGGAGTTGCTACTGAAGCCTTATCCTGAATAAGGAGGAACAAGATAAACTTATAAAAAAGCCTTCTGCTTCTCTTGTAGCGCTAAACCACACTCACATTAAGGCACTGTCCCCGAATCCTATTCGGCTGTCTCCGTCCATTGGGTTTCTTAGAAAACCACTCCATTTTCACTATGATCCTAAAACTGAGGTTTTGTTCCCTACACCCTATACCATCCCAATACGCATGCAGGATCATGGTTTGCTTTTGCGACTTGATTTTGGGTAGAGGAGCACTTTGCTGGGGAACCACCTCTGAAAAGGGGGCCGTTTCATGAAGTTCAGTAGAAGATTTCCTTGTAGGAAATAGTAAAGGAACTGAGTGATTGACGCTGGTTCACCCTTTGGACAGGTGGATCTGTCCAAATGGAGAAGGCGAGGGCATGTCTTAAATAATGAGATTTGCGGGAAGAGGTGTCTCCCAGGTTTCTCCCTATTGGTCCGTCCCTATTGGTCCGACTTCCTCCTCAAACACACGGAATTCCCCCCTTTCTACCTTCCACTCCCTCACTGCCTTCCCAACCTTCCCTCCCGACTCTGCCTTCCCAACCCCGACAACCGCCTCTCCGTTTGGCAATACCCGCTCGTCCTGCCTCCCATCAAACGTTCAAGTTTTCACGAAACTTCTCTGTTCAACCCATCCCCAGAAACATCATACGCCACGAAGTTTAGTTTGGAACTCGGTAGAATTTATAGATGGTTTAAATGCGGGGCTTATAAAAAATACCCGAGGAAGGGTCTTTGTGGTTTATGCAGTCGTAAACTTTTGCTGATTGCTTCTGGGAAGTTGTCAGGCTTTTAAAACTGCGTTTCACTTATGGTGCAATGAAAACACATCTGCCCATCGTCTCGTTACCTGGGTTAATGTAACTCAGCCCCGCGTCATTGCCGAAATCAAATGCCCACTTTTTCATTACCTCGACTGCGAGCCACTGAGTCTTTAGGGCGAACAAGGGAAGCCTCTAACAAATCAAGCAACTTGATCATTATGTCGAAGAAATGTAAACTGCCGGTGAACTTTCCTAGACTGCGGGGCGGTACTTCAATTTGCAACTCTGGCCGGCAGACGAGGCTGGGAGAATTATGTAGCGTTACAAAAGCAGGAAATTCAAGTCAAGACTTGCAAAGTATCTGCCTAGACAGGCTCTGGTCTTCCCTGACGTCAGGTACGGCTAAAAGGAGGCCGCTGGGCGTGGGATGAGTGGGGAAAGTTAACCTTTACAGATTTACAGGCAGCATTTAGGCTCCAAATCAATATTAACAGGCCCCAATATGGCGTGTCACTAAAAGAGCATCTGATTAGTGAAAGACGGGAATCCCAACTGGTATTTAAAATAGGTCTCTTGCCATCAGACTACCTAGGGTATTCTTACTATCTTTTCTTTGTTTATTCTAGAAAGTTTATGTGTCCCATGTCAGCTAATTCAGAATTGTGTGTTTGTTTCTTTATGAAGGTAAAATTACTTCTACTTATGAAAAGGGACTTCAGTAAGTCATTGCACCCACAATATGGGTTCCCAGTCCCCTACAATAACATAGCAGCCAAAGAATAAGGTTTCTCCCTTTACTCACAAGTCAACAGAACAATGAGATATCAATGCATAACATTTGTCAATAGGTGTATCAGAGTCCTGTAGGTTACTCCAGTGAAAAGTTCATACCCTAAATTATAGTAATTCTTAGCAAGAGAGAGAGGGGGGAAGGGGGGAGGGAAGGAAGGAAGGAAGGAAATTTAATTTTGAAATCAAGAGGTATTATTATATATTTTGATACCTTTGAGTCAATCTTAACTTCTGGTGCTTGGGCTAGTTTTCTGCAGTTTTCTTGGCAAGATTTTCAGATAGTGGCTTGCCATTTTCTTCCTTATAGGGCTGAGAGAGAGTGACTGGCCCAAGGTCACCCATTTGGCCTCATGCCTAAAGGGAGACTAGAACTCATGATCTCCAGATTTATTGCAGGTTAAGTGATAGTCTAGAAACACCTCATAACAGTTCAATAGATTATTGTTTCAACTGCCTAGAGGTTCAGACTAAGATCACAATGCTCCCTTCACAGTTTCACAATAATATTAGATAGTTGAGTTTATCTGATGATAACAAAAAACCAAAACACTACCACATATTACCAATAGTCTGGAACTTCTCATCTATACAATCTCCCATGAATGTATGAGTAACCATAGTACAATAGCACAGCATATTCAGGGCAACAGGATCTATTCCAAAATCTCTAAATAATTTGGAAAACATTCATAATTTCTTTGACATATCCACAACAACTAACAAAATCAATAATAGAAAAAGAAGAGAAAAGACCGAATATAAGAGATATTTATTTCATCTGGAGATTATCTGACCTAATAATCTTGATTCCTTTTTCAACAGTTTAAATGAAATGTGGCATTCCTAGTTTAATCACATTTACTTGCAGAAGCATATCTGAAGAAAATTAGCATCTCTAAAACTAGCCAAATCTCCAGTCTTATTTCCAAGTACACTTAAGGTTAGAGTGTTTGATATCTAAATCTGTGAGTTTACTGAACTGGGCTTTAAGTAAAACACTGAGATTTAATTTCAGTTTTCAATCAGACGCAACTTAATCTCCTCCTTCCTGCAGATTATACTAACTACAGTACCTTGGGGATCAAAAGCTGACACATTTTGACCTGACCCAAAGTCAGCTGAGATTAATACTGAGCTCTTCTATCCATTTTCTTGGGAAGAATTCATTTTGCACATCTCAACCAACAGGCTTAGGATCTGGATCCACCTTTCATAGAAGCCAAAGAAACAAGTGCATTGACACGAGAGTAATTGATTTCCAGGCAGCTTAAAATACAATAAAGTCTAGAATTGGATTGGGGTCAGAGACAGCGGTCCTTTTACCTGCTTCCACAAAAAGAGAGAGAGAAGCAGCAGGGAGGAAAGAGAAACTTTCAAGGAACCCACCCACATCAACTTTGGTGCCCTTTGGGACCCATCCCTATCAACTTTGTCTGTCTTCAGTTGAGTCCGTAGCCAAATGCTACTTGGGGCGAAAGCTGACGAGGAAGGTGATCGAGATCATCAGCATTCTTCCCTAAGTCCTCAGAAAGGGGATACAAGAATGGGGATCAAATAATGGGGATCTTCACAGCAGAGCGCGGAGAATTCAGAGTATGACAGTGAGAAAATGACCGAAAGCGCCCAATAAATGTTCAGGCGCACTTTTCTCCCCGTGTCCCTTTCCCCCACCTTGCCTTGTCCGGATTGCTTTCCGTCACTTTGAGGTACGTTTCAAATAGAATACAAAGCAATGGCCTTTGCTCATCGACGTCTTGGGGACGCAGAAGAGAAGTTGCAAAAGGACCCACAGGGAAAGTCACTACAGGAAAGGGAGAGCCCAAAAGTTGTGTGGCTAAGGAATTCCCCTTTTATCTGCCTCTCTAAATGGATTACATCTAGGTGATCCTGA